TCTCCATACTGGGTGATAGTCTTCCGAGCCAAGCACAAAACATTTGCTTGCTTTTTTCCTCCCTCCTCCCCTCCACCATGGAAAACTAGTGGAGAGGGGCTTGGCAAAAAAAATAAATAATTGAAATGTTTTAGCAGCAACCTATTGGCAGAAAGATGGAAACTGAGTTTGGAAAGTCAGCGGAGAGGCCACATACAAAACTTTACCCTGGGGCAAATTTCCCTTGCACAGCCACAAATTCAGCATCTGCTGGTGGGGGGGTGGGGAAAGCTGATTTTAAGCGTTACTCCTTACGCAGCCTGATTCAGTTTTAATAAATTCACATTAAGCCATGCCATGATGATAGGTTTTCCTCTCACTACCAAGTCACTGGACCCTGGGTGCTGACATGCTGTCATGCTACGAAGCAGAGGGAGCAGGAGTTTGTTGGGAACTGCTTTCAAGTGGCAGCACCTGGAAGAATGGGCGCCTGGGATTTTCACAGTCTGTAATGTCCTGTTCCAAACCCCTGCCTCTGCCACAACCCCTGCCTAACCCTCGGGAGGAGATAGGAGAGGCTGAGTGGGGAGCAGGCGCTGGGCAGTTGGGTTTGCTGTGCCAAGAAGGAGGCAAGGCAGAGGGATGCTGCTCTGCTGGCCAAAACCCCCCGGGGCTCTGAAGCACATCTGCAGCTCTTGTGAGCACTCCCACCCACAACAGCAGGACGGGAGCTCTGGCACAGACACCTCTCTGCTTTGCCTGTGGAAAAGCGAGGCTATGCAGGGCAGAAGTTGGCATGGAAGTGTTCCACAGCTGACTTGGGCCTGGGGAGGGAAAGCCCACCCCAGCTGTAGAAGCAGCTCCGTCAGTCTGCAGCTTGAGCTGGGCTGGATGCGTAGGTAAACCACCGAGCAATCTCTGTCTTCACAAAGATGCTCAGAGCAAGTGTCAGGGATGTGCAGAGGAGAGATCCCCATCCCTGGGGTTGCTGATCATCCCCCTGTCTGGGTCAGCCCCCTCTCTGGCAATATCTGTTTTCCAAAGGAGGGCTTAGGGGAACTTGCTTTTGATCTCCTAATCTTTCTGTGCTGGTCTTTCCCCTGCAGAGAACTGTCACACAATCAAATTGAAGATCTGCCCAGTTTTCACCGGTGTCAGCGCCTGGAGGAGCTGTGAGTAAAGAGATGCCCTCATTCATGCCGTGCTATGGGGAAAGGGGACAATTTGGGAATAGAAGCAGCTCCCAAACACAAAACTAAACCTCTGCCAAAAGCACTGGGAAATCCTAGCATTATAACTCACTGTTTGGACTGCTAGTGGATCAGAGCTCTATGCTTTACCTCTGTGCAAATACAGAATAAAAATAGTCCCCCTGTGCATAGAGGCTTAATTCACTCAGGTCTTTTCAGAGGTGTCAGCCACAGCAGACAGAAGTAGGACTTGACAGCACCAGATTTTACTTCACTAACTCAAGCCCCAATATGAGCTAATCAAGAATGGGGTTCATCTCTACTGTAAATTGCTTCTTCTTCAAGATGGGGCCCTGTGCCATGGGTATAAAGCAGCCTTTATCCGTACCTCTCAGGGCTAGCCCCTCATAAGAGAAGACTGATGCTCTTCTCATGTGTAGCACTTGAACTGGGTCTCCTCCAGGACCTGGGAGGCACCTCTGTTGCTCTGAGACAGAGTTGTTCATGTTCAGTTCAAAGTACCTGCAGGCAGAGCCCTACACATTAAAACTGACAGTTCTTGGCCCTTTTTGGAGAAAAAAATAAAAATAATAGACTCCATGATTTTTTATAGAATACGGAAAACTGGAAGAATAGATGTGTGGGAGCAGCATCCCCACAAGAACACACTGGAGAGGTTGTCCTTGTTCTCTGCAGCCCCCCAGCCTGGACGGCCAAACCATCTCGTCCAGCCTTAGCAAAACCAGGCAGTAGGACACTGTGTGACATCACATGGAAATGAGATTTAACATAGCCTTTACTGCCTGTTCGGGAGCTCTGAGGACAAATTTGGAGCTGGGTGTGTTTTATCTAAAGTACCCCCAGGGAAACATTTGAAAAAATGCAAAAGACATCTAAAAAAGGACAAACTTCCAGAATTCCAAACCTGTAGTTTCATGCCTTGTACCTAAATGTCTTCGTATGATATTTTATAATACACCAAATTCAAACTTATCATTAATGTAAAAGCACAGTAAATCCTTCTTTGAGACTACTTAAGTCAGGCAGACTGTGTCTTAAATTAACGTTTTCTTACAAAATGAGCATTTGGTCCCTTAAGCCCCAAGATATTATCCTGTAAGCCCTACCCCCACCAGGCTTGCTGGGAAATACCTTGGAAACAACTCTTGTGGTGCGTGGTGGTACAGTCTGGCTTGCAAACAACTCAGGTGTGCCAGTCGCTCTGCTGCAACTGCCAACGCGCAGGTTTTGACCTGCAACACACAGGTGGTCCCTCGCAGCTAAATATCCTTCAATTATTTTTCACCAGCTTGCTCCAATACCCCTTCTTCCCAAGCTGCACCTTTCCCACTCAGTGCTCCTTTACCTGAGACCCCCAAATTTGTGCACAGAGCTTCTCACGGCCCTCACCTGACATCTTACCTAGATGCACAGGGAATGCCTTTTTGCCTACACAGGGCATTGAGAAACCAGCAGTAGAGCAGATATGAGACCTTGCCTCTGAAACACAAACATGTGGCCAAATTCCCAGGTGAGATGTGACATGAGTCAAGATCATTTCTGAGTCTGGAATCAGCTGCCCAACAAACGGCCAAGGAGGTTGGTGTCGGTAGAGCACTAGGCAGTGGCTCTCTCCCCTTGCAGAATGTCACACATGGGGAGACCACTTCTGCAGGTCTGGCAGCTCATGATGGGCATTTTTGCTGGAATTTTAAAAAATATTCACCATTGCTCCACACCAGGGAAGAGAAAACTGGGAAGCTGTTACTGTTTCCCATAAGGCAGATGCCTGGATCAGTTCTAGATGTCTCTCGGTGGGTGTGGGGAGTGTGTAGGTCAGTCAGCAAACACCGTGTGAGCTCTTACCCTGCTCCCTCCCCTGCCCAAGGGAGTGCAGGAGGCTGCTGGAAGGGAGATGTGCAGAGGCTGATGCAATCTATGAAAATACGTGTGCAGGATGGTGGGTTTAGCAAGACGTCAGGATTTTCTTCATGAGAAGCTGAGATGCCTTCAGCCTTCTCACTCCCTGCGTCATCATCAAGGCAAAGGGCAGCACCATGTAATCCTTCCTGAAGGGTCGCGCAGAGCTGTGTACTGACTCACTGGCTCCAAGCTCTCATTTTTTTTGGTCTGGACAAAGCAGTTTGCAGGCTCAGGCTGGAGCAGAGTGGGAAACCAATGTGGCTTTGGAGATAACGGGGCATCTTTAAACGCTGTATATCGATGGCACTTTACTGTGCCATGTTGACATCAAATGGAGGGGCTGGCTGAGCCCTGGAGCTGCCCATAGGGGAGGATGACTTTGTGTTGTTTTGTTACTCTTCCTCATTACCCCTTGAAATAAGAGAGGGTGTCCCAAGCTCAAATGACACCTTCCACTGTGACAGTTTGCATCTGATGCTGTGGAACAGAGATCCCTACAGAGTGCCACCTTCAGCTATTTTCTCAAACCAGTTTCTGTCTTCTCAGTGGTCTCCAGCACAACAGGATCCATGAGATCAGAGCAGACACCTTTGTGCAGCTGATGGCCCTGCGCTCCATGTGAGTATTGCCTGGCAGAGGAACAGCCGGGCTTTTTGCTGGGGGATGGGGAACTGTGAACACTCAGCCAGTCTGCTATGGAGTTCCTCAACCCCACTCCTCTTTCATATGTTCTTCTGTCTAGTCCCTCTTCCACTTCCCCTTGCAAAAGAGCAGGGCACTAACTTTTTTCTGGCTTCCCTTCTACATGTAAATAAACATGTTAGACATATTAAATGCACACAAACATACACATATCATCCACACATACGAACTTTCCAGTAGCCCACTTAAGAGCTTGGCACCTTTGAGAAGCTAATAAGGCTTCACAGGGCATTTTTTTTCACAGAAAAGGTAGTCAGCCATTGGCACAGGCTGCCCAGGGAGCTGGTTGAGTCCCCATCCCTGGAGGTGTTTAAAGGTCGTTCAGATGTGGGGTTGGGGAGATGGGTTAGGGGTGAACTTTGTAGAGTGGGGTTCGTGGTTGGACTCGATGATCCCAGGGGGCTTTTCCAACCTGAATGATTTTTCCCTGGGACACGTGGGAAGAGTCCTCCAAGTGCTGATGGTCTTTATTTGCTTTTCTGTTTGGAGGTGAACTGCATCACAGAAAAGCTTTTTCCTATGGTGCAGCAATGTGAGTGTCATTTAACAGACCAGCATTCCTAGAGATCCCCTGAGCGTCATGTACAACGTGTTCATAACTGCACAGGAACTCATGTGACACTGCAGACACGTAACACTGCAGACAGACATGCCAATACAAGCATGCTGCTGCCACACTATAGTCACACAAGCATAGAGCTGAGCGTGCAAGATCTGACATTTGCCTGCAGTTGTGTTCTTGCATTCATCTCGCTCAGCTTCAGCCCTCTGCATTTTGACACACACATCTGGACAGGCATCCCCAGCTCCCCTCAGAGCTGGAGAGATGCAGACCTATCTAGGAGATTGCTCATGTCGTCAGTCTTTGAAGAACACTTCCTGGTATGGGGCTCCTCTCTGCTGATGACAGAGGGAGTTGAGCCCTTTAACTCAGATGGAAGCAGAGCTTAGTGAGGAGCCTCAGAGAACCCAAGCCAAGTCCACCTGACAGGAGACACTCTAAGATGACCTTGGTCCGCCTTCTGCACGTCCCCTGGCCCTATCTGCTCTTGCCTGGGCACCCAGCACTGTGAGCCTATAAGGGATGCTCTGGCACTAAGCCATAACCTATCTGCTGCTCTGAGGTTTAGCTCATTGGCATAAAATCCCCAAATTTACAGAACTGAAGCCCAAAAGTAACCTTTCCCATTGGCGTCAGTGGAGGAACTCCTGCAAGGCAAACTCTTCTGCCCTCTGTTAGAAACCACCTGCATATACACCCAAACATATTTGTCTCCAGGGAGCTAAAAACTTGCTGCCACCCAAGGGGATGCAGATCCCACATTTACTGTCACTAAACCCCTTGACCAGGTCAGTGTCAGCAGCTTCACTGCCCTGCTCTGCATCCCTCTCACTGACGTTTCCTTGCTTTGCAGAGACCTCAGCTGGAATTACATCCAGTTTATTCACCCTGAAGCCTTTGTGACCCTGCACTCACTCACCAAGCTGTAAGTTGCAGTGGTATTTCTTTCACAGTGGACAGCAGGTACCTGAGGAGCTCAGATTGACTCCCCAGACTACCCAGACACTTGGCATTTAGTGACCAGAAGGCTGCAGTGCTGAGGTGCCTGCCTCAGCGCTGATGTGGGCAGACCAAATCCCAAGGTTTCCCATCAATATTAAAGGGATTACAAAAGTGCAGAAGGAGCCATCTTCAAGATGCTCTCACCCTGATCACTTAAACCTCCACCTTCTGATGCTTTCATACCTGCCTTAAATGCCTTTGTGAAAGATCAGCGTGATAGACCATTTCAG